AGAGGAGAACAAAGATGACATTTTTGGTGTCATACAAACGGTTTTGTCCCACAGCAAGGTCGGGGCGAAGAACAATTTGCTCTTAGCGATTTTGGATATGTATCGCCCCAACAAATTGAATGCCGGCAACGTGGGGAACTATTTGAAACCTATCCTAAAGAAGCTGGCAGAGCTGGAATCCCGCGCAACTTCTAAAGTCGCGCTGAAAGCCCGCGAAGTTCTTATCCAGTGCGCTCTTCCATCCCTGGAGGAGAGGGTCGCCCAGATGGAGCATATCCTGCGATCTTCAGTGGTGGAATCGAAATACGGAGAGACCGGCTGGGATCATAGAGAGCCTGACATCAATGTCTTGAAAGAAGTGGTTGACTCGAAGTACACTGTCTTTGACGTTCTCCCTCTGTTCTTCGGGCATCAGGACCAATGGGTATCCCTGGCAGCGCTCGAGGTGTATGTCCGCCGTGCCTATCGAGCGTATAAATTGAAGGGTATCGAATATCACAACCAGCACGAGAGTCCGTTCTTTATTTCCTGGGATTTCACTCTCGGAAAGGCTGGTGGCCAATCTGATTTTGGAATGGTGGCCGGTTCATCTCACCCGTCCACTCCCACCACGCCCACGATGGAAAGCAATCCGTTCAAGAAAATCAGCTCCATTAGTGACATGTCATACTTAGTTAACAAAGGGGTCAATGAGCCAATGAGGAAAGGTGTTATCATTCCCGTTAATTATCTCGATGATGCCGAGGAGATGCTTTCGAGGGCACTGGAGGTTTTTCCCCGCGCAGAGTCTCAGAAGAGCAGCGGAAACTCCATTGGCCTATCTTTAGCGGCTTTGCGCAAGCCAACACGTGTTGAAAGCATCGACGAGCTTACTGGCGTTTGCAACGTTGCGATCCGTGATATCGAGGACCTTGATGATACGGAGATGGTGTCGCGCATTACCAAGCTTGTCTCTGAAGTCAAAGAAGAGCTTCTCGTTCGTCGGGTGAGAAGACTTACATTTATCTGCGGGCATAAGGATGGGACTTATCCTGGTTATTTTACGTTCAGAGGACCTACTTACGACGAAGATGAGAGCATTCGACACAGTGAACCTGCACTTGCATTCCAACTGGAATTGGGAAGGCTTTCCAAATTTAGAATTAAGCCTGTCTTTACGGAAAATCGGAATATTCACGTTTACGAGGCAATTGGAAAGGGGCCGGAGAGTGACAAGGCTGTTGATAAACGTTATTTCACGAGAGCTGTTGTTCGCCCGGGCCGATTGCGAGATGATATTCCCACGGTGGAGTATCTTATCTCTGAGGCTGACAACTTAATGAATGACATCCTGGATGCTCTGGAAATTATTGGCAATAACAACTCTGATTTGAATCATATCTTTATCAACTTTACGCCCGTTTTTCCCCTTCAGCCGGTTGATGTCGAAAGGGCCTTGGCAGGCTTTTTGGAACGCTTTGGTCGACGACTCTGGCGCCTCCGCGTCACTGGAGCTGAAATCCGTATCCTCTGCACGGAGCCGACGACTGGAATGGCCTATCCCCTCCGTGTAGTTATCAATAACACCTCAGGATACATTATTCAAGTTGAAATGTATGCTGAGCGAAAGTCCGAGAAAGGGGAATGGATATTCCAGAGCATCGGTGGCACGACAAAAATAGGATCCATGCATCTTCGTCCAGTTTCAACACCGTATCCCACGAAGGAATGGCTGCAACCCAAACGATATAAGGCCCATTTAATGGGTACTCAATACGTCTACGACTTCCCGGAGCTATTCAGACAGGCTTTTCAGAACTGCTGGACAAAGGCTAGTGAAGAGCATTCTTCCCTCGCTGACAAACGGCCTGCTGTGGGCGAGTGTATCGACTACAACGAACTCGTGCTTGATGATTCTGACAATTTAATCGAGGTCGCGCGAGAGCCTGGGACCAATACGCATGGGATGGTTGGCTGGATGATCACTGCAAGAACTCCCGAATACCCGCGTGGCAGGCGCTTCATCGTTATCGCCAACGATATCACATTCCAAATTGGATCTTTTGGACCTCAAGAAGATAAATTTTTTCATAAGTGCACTGAGCTTGCTAGGAAGCTTGGGATACCTCGTATCTACCTTTCTGCCAACTCCGGTGCTCGTATCGGAATGGCAGAGGAGCTGATGCATCACTTCTCTGTTGCGTGGAATGATCCGGAGCGACCAGAAGCTGGATTCAAGTATCTTTACCTTACCCCGGAAGTGAAGAAGAGACTAGACGAGAGGAAGACAAAGAACGTCATCACTGAACTTGTCACGGAAAACAGTGAGGAAAGACATATGATTACCACTGTCATCGGTGCAGAAGACGGCCTTGGTGTCGAGTGCCTCAGAGGCTCTGGTCTCATTGCTGGCGCCACCTCGAAGGCCTACGAAGACATCTTCACGATTACACTTGTGACATGTCGTTCTGTTGGGATTGGTGCCTACCTCGTTCGTCTGGGCCAGCGGGCAATTCAAGTTGAAGGGCAGCCTATTATCCTCACCGGTGCCCCTGCTATCAACAAGCTTCTTGGAAGAGAAGTCTATACATCCAACTTGCAGTTGGGTGGAACACAAATTATGTACAAGAATGGTGTTTCACACATGACCGCAAATGATGACTTTGAAGGTATTCAGAAGATCGTGCAATGGATGTCATTTATCCCAGACAAGAAGAATTCGCCTGTCCCAATTCGACCATATTCCGACACTTGGGATCGAGATATCGGATATTATCCCCCAGCCAGGCAACCTTACGATGTTAGGTGGCTTATTGCTGGTAAGCAGGATGAAGAGGGTTTCTTACCTGGTTTCTTCGACAAGGATTCCTTCCAGGAAACACTGGCTGGATGGGCGAGGACCGTGGTTGTGGGACGTGCTAGACTTGGTGGAATTCCCATTGGCGTCATCGCAGTGGAGACACGCTCTGTCGACACTGTCACACCTGCCGACCCTGCCAATCCAGATTCAATGGAGTTGATTTCCACGGAAGCCGGTGGAGTTTGGTATCCAAATTCTGCATTCAAGACCGCCCAGGCTCTCAAAGATTTTAACTTTGGCGAACAGCTCCCTGTGATGATTCTTGCTAACTGGAGAGGGTTCTCTGGTGGTCAACGAGACATGTACAACGAAGTACTAAAATATGGTTCTTATATTGTCGACGCGCTTGTCAAATACCAGCAACCTGTTTTTGTTTATATCCCGCCATTTGGGGAACTGCGTGGTGGTTCCTGGGTAAGTTGAAAGTCCTTAAAACACTTATTTGTGTTCCTTTTCTTTAAATATACTAATCCATTTCAATAGGTTGTGATCGATCCCACCATCAACCCAGAACAAATGGAAATGTACGCTGATGAGGAGTCCCGCGGCGGTGTCCTTGAGCCAGAAGGCATCGTCAATATCAAATACCGTCGCGATAAGCAGCTGGATACCATGGCCCGTTTGGACCCGGAATACGGCGAGCTTCGAAAAGCACTCAACGACAAATCCCTCCCCGCTGACCAACTTTCCAAGATCAAAGCCAAGATGACTGAAAGAGAAGAACAACTCCTGCCAGTCTACATGCAAATCGCCCTTCAATTTGCTGACCTCCATGACCGCGCCGGCCGCATGGAGGCCAAAGGAACCATCCGCCAAGCCCTCCAATGGAAAAATGCCCGGCGGTTCTTTTACTGGCGTCTCCGTCGCCGTCTCAGCGAGGAACTTATTCTCAAACGCATGGCTGCAGCCTCTCCCTCGACTGCTTCGCGCAATAGCGCTGTCCCGAACATTAATGCCACCAGCCCTTCTTCCCCCCTCAAACCCACCACGCCGTCAAGACGTGATGCCAATCTAAATACTCTCCAATCGTGGACTGGAATGCTGGATCGGGAGTTCGACTTCAATGATCGCAAGGTTGCTCTGTGGTACGAAGAGAATAAAAAGAAGGTGCTGGAGAATGTTGAGCAGATGAAGGTTGATGGAGTTGCAATTGAAGTTGCCCAGTTACTTATGGGTAACAAGGATGGTGGGTTGAGGGGTGTGCAGCAGGTACTTAGCATGCTGCCCGTGGAGGAAAGGGAGGCTGTATTGAAATATTTGGGGTCGCCTTGATGGGTGGAAGTGAGCCAGTTGATATGGTGCTTGCAACTACAGGCTTTTTGGTCATGTTTTTGGCAGACAAAGGATTTCAACAACCACACGAATATTATTTGGTTTTATCTTTTGGGGTGTAGGAGTGTATGGTGGTTTCGTTATTGAATTGTTGGGCTTTGCCTTTGGCAATTTGTTATGGTTTTTTGTTTGAGTTATTTTGTTTTCTCCTTTTTCCTCATACATCGACATAGTCCTGTAAACGTTCGATGGTCCTTAGATTTCTTTTGTAATCGCCCTTTGCTTTCCCCGTGTTGATCACGTAATTAATCATTTTTATTACATACGTACTTTTAGACATTTCCATGATTGGTAGATAGACAAACATCTTCTAATCAATAATGTCTATGATATTGTTCAACATGTCTAAGATCAGTGATAGTGCCCCAGTTTCATACGCGTTTCATATAAGGCCTACTTCCGTTTTCTTAAATGAGAACTGATATACTTAAAATCATTAATCTACTGTATACCTGCAAGATCTGTTGCAGAAATTGGAAAGTGAATATTTGAATTCACACATATTTGACATTAATGATTGGTGTAATATGCTCAAGTATACAAAATACAGTACATGAACATAGAAGCAGAGATTACGTAAAACAATCCAACTTTTCAAGTGATGAATTTAGAGGTGCTCAATAAACCAATCAAGCAATCTTGTAGAAAAAAGTTATAAAAGCCTGGAAAATGTCAATGCAGATAATCAAAATAAATATCCTTTCTCTTCTCTTATATAAATAGAAATATATATATGCAAATCCAGCAAATGGGTATCAAAGTAACGGAAATACAAAATATATGTTTAAAATCACTCGAAATAACAGTGTTCAAACACTGCACTACACTATCATGCTAGTTGTCTCTCCATCGTAATCGGCTGACGCATCAACGGAGAAACAGCACCATACGCGGAGGTTGGGACATCCCTTAACCCCTTCATCCCCCCTCGACTTCGTGTCTGCTCATCTCTATCAATACCTAGTCTCCCTAACTCGACCGGAAGCTGGTCCATTTCGTGGTGGGTCATCTTCAAACTTTTCCTCATATGAGATTGGGATGCAACTGCTGGTAAGCGGCTGTCATCAGACGAAACATCATCTGCCCGCGTGGTATTGGCATTGCGGGTCCATGCCAGTGCCTCCTCGCTTCTAGGAAGGGTGACGCTGGTGGCACCTAGAGTGCGGGCAATGTCGTCTAGGAGAACCTCCATCGGGGCGATGTAAGCAGTTCGGCTCTTTTCTGACCATGCGAGGACGTGTCCACATACTTCACCTGTGGATTTATCGAAGACCCAGGCCCCAGAGTCGCCAGGAACTAGAGATAGGTGAGTGAGTGTTGGTGTGAATTTAGAGGGGACGTGGGGGAGCATGCTGAGTTGTTAGGAATTGGGGATGGGAGAGCCGTACCTCCAAAATTCCCATCAACGCTAAAGCTGCTAGAGAACGATTGGCGCCCATGCATCTTTACAAGACTCATTGCTTTGGAAATTCGTCCACTTTGCAAGCCGCTTGTCCTGCCACAACATTGCACATACAAGCCAGCCAGATCCTCTAACTTGGCGACCTTGTCTAGCTCCGCAAATAACGCTTTGAGGCCTTGTTGCGCTTGAGTGCCACGACGACCGAAGTTGAGGGAGCTATTTGATTCTGACGTGTGAACGTTCGTAAGTATCGCATTATTGACATCCATCCGATTCTCGCCAATTTTGATAAGGGCCCAATCCACTTCATGTTTTATGCCATTGCGTGTCCATCTCCTGACTCCCGACGAGGCGTGGACGTATCCTAGAGAATGCGAGGCAAGGTGTTCATCGTCACGATCTTCATAGGATGGGAAAAAACCGTCTTCCACATCATCAATCGCCGGTTGAGTGACAATTATCCTAGGCTCTTCTCCGGGGTCTACTCCAGCAGTATCTCCGATAGATGCGGCATCAGAATCATTGTCGTCGTTAGGGTCTTCATCCGCGTCATCTGTAGAATATCCATCTGAAAGCCAGTAGTCATCATATGACTCGTCAATGCTTGGTGCAATGGATCCTTCATCTCCATCTTCTTCGCCGTCAGATATTTCAAAGGGATAAAGGGCTTCAGGTAGGTCTTCACCACGCCAAGAGTATGAGAAGCCCTCGTCAAAAGGCTCCGTTCCCGGAGTCCAGTTGCCTGCCGAGCGGGGAGGCAAGTCATCATCCTCGTCATCGCAGGGAGCATCAAGCATGTGGTGCACAGTCATTCCGTAGGGCATGCCGTCAACAAGAATGGCCCCTCCATAGGAAACGGGAGGTAAATGTTCGTCAAGTCGAAATGCTCCAATTGACGCTCCACAGAGAGGCTTTTGCTGATAGTGTGGGTTCAAGTCAGCTTGGGTGGTATCAGCAGCAGGGCAGTTATTCCGTTTCGGTTTTCTACGTCTTCTGCGAGGAACCTTTGACCTTGTAACATCTCCTCGAATCACAATGAGATCCCAGTTTTCTCGATCAAAGTCGAAGTACTTTTTAAGAGCCGCTCGAACCCTGCGTATGTTGGTACATGTGACACATATTGTGGTCTTCGCGGTTTCTGCAGTTTCTCCAGCTATCATCAATGTCGCACTGCAGGATTCGGGCGAGTCCTTTAGGATCTTCTGAAGAAGTTTGCTGAGCTTTGGCATGAGTGTAGTGTTCCATTCCCGTAAATTTTCATCAGGTATTTCGACATTCGACCATTTTTTAAACGTTCGTTTGCGGACTTTCTTCTCGTTAACAGTACACTTCTCTTGTAATGCTTTCGAATCACCGTAGGTTGTCCCATCATCCTCCGGATCAATAGGTAGGGTTACATCCAGCTGAGCACCTGTATTATAAGAGTTTACCTCTTTCCTTGTCGAACTGGATGGCTCAATAATGAGAGGTGGAGGAAGACACTCATCTAAATCTGAAGCTGGTGGTGGATTGAAAACATCTAGGCAAGCACAGCGCCAAGTGACTTTGCCAATTGCGTAAACGAAATTTTTGGAAAACGTATTCCACTCATCAGATGCACTCGGATCATGCCATGGGTAGTGGTAAGTTTGTTGAATCCTCAGTCCTAAGTCTGCCATCGGTTCCGTTGAAAGGTGGAAGTTGGGAGCATCGAGGCAAAGCTGTACCATTTGTAGATATGAATTTCCACATTTTGGAGCGAGTCTTTTGACGTAGACATTTTCGATTCGTGATTTGAACATAGCGTTGTTGTACTTCATCTTCCAAAGTTTACTGAGTGGCGTCCACAACCCAATCTCAAGTAATACCAAGCCTAAACTATAGAGATCATATGCCCACGAAGAATTGTCGGTAATAACACGACGGTCGTCAGGATGGCGGTACATGCTGGCTGATAAAGGTTCTGGAACAGCATTTTTGTCTTCGCTATCGAACTGAGCGAGCGACGTGAGGTATGGATGGCTGAACTCGGAACTCGAGTCTCTTAGAAACCCTTCATTAGAAACCCGATAATCAGGGAATATTAAAATATTGTTGCTGTTTATATTCCCATGTACGACATTTTGGCTTCTGAGATGAAGAACCGCAAGAACCAGATGATACGCTAAACGAAACCTACTTTCAAGATTCGGGATAGGGAAGTCCGGTCGGTTATCTCCAGAATGAAACAGGGATACAAGGGGTCGAGGTTTGGCATCCCTCAGGATATCCGAGGGTTGTCTTAGTAGTGGAAAGATTTCAAGCGGAACCTGGTAAACGAACGCATAACGGGAATAAGTCATATCGATAAAATAGCCAACAAACTTGAGCAATCCGAGATGAGATACACGTGAGTTTTCGACTAAACGCTGAAGGGTCTCTGATAATTGAACAAGTCGTCCTTTGCGAGGAAATATAAGAGAATTCGGTTGTCCCATCATCATCGGCAAGAATTCCACGAGGACTGGTACAGTTGGTCCTTTCACAAGCGTTGCCAGCGCAGAAGGCATCGCAGGGACATCTAAATGTCCAATGACTCGAGAATTCGCAGATTCTGCAATCGCCTCATATGGAGGAGGATTGGAAGCATGAGAAATCCCGACATACGACAGATGAAGGGCAGATTTATCAATATAGAAATGTTTAGTTGAAAGAAAAGAATCAGGAAAAGTCTTCGGGAAATCAACTGTAGACGCATCAGCCAATGTATCGGCATGGAAACCCATAAGAGGGTCGGTTCCAAATTCTTCAGGCTGGGGTTGCGATGCGACCCTTTTCGATGTTGGCAGCGGTTTTTCATCCATTGATTGACCAGGTTCATTCCAAAGCGAATAAAACGATTCCTTGGAAGATTTTGATGACTTTGACAGCGCCGGCCGATTTTGGCCTTTTAAACCAGATTGGGAATTCGCATTCGCACTGCTCATGCTCATGCTCATATTCCTTCGCGACCGCGAGAGATCATATAGTGTCTCGATATGTTGCGTCAACTCCTCCAACAACTCCTTCGACCGCGCAATCTCCTCTGGAGTCCATGAGGTCTTGAACGGGCAAACCGTCCCGGGCCCATCAAGAGACTTGACACCATCCGGTTGCTGGAGCCTCTCCGCCTCATTCAAAAGCTCCTGGATAGATGACATGACACTCGCGACAACGTCAGAAAAGCCAGCCTCACTTAGAGCCTCATCGATGTCATTGGGTTGGGCGGCGCTCGCATCACTCCAATCCAAGCCCCATGCCAGGAGCCTATCTTTTTGGGTCCGGAAATTGCAGTTCAATGCCACGAGCTCCGGATCATCGTTGGCCTTTGATGCACTAGAAACATTCTCGCAGGATGATTTGGTATCTGTATATAGTTTGGTGAGCCGTCTTTGAAAGAAGGCACCGCCATGCCTGAGGACAGACATGGATGGCTACGATTGTGAAAGCTTTCTATCTAGAGAGGAATTGATATGAAGAAAATCTCAGATTTGCCGACCAACGAATACCATATATATGTTCAAGAGAAAAGAATACGTCTTCATAGAGATATCTAATGCATCGAAAAGACGATTGTTAATGCGATCTTGATACGAGGTTGATGCGAGGTTGATGCGATCAAGTAGAAAAAGCAATAAAAGTTGCTGCCTAACAATGGGCCAATCATGGACCCCTGGCTCAACGCCAAGGCTGCTCCCCGATCTAGCCTAGTTCAGTCACGTGATCATTAGACAGAAAGAAAGATCGGTCCATTGACAAAGACACTCAGAACGGACTTTGTTGGAGGCGAGTACTCCGTAGTGAATTTATTGTCTCTATACTTATTACTCCGGTACCCTGCTCAGAGTGACACCTCGAAGTGCAAGTAGGCCTATATACGAAACCTGATAATATACACAATGTGAAACAGGAAAACGGTATGAAGAAAAAGTGAATGTAAAAGAAGTTGCAGTGTCGAAGAATGACTAGGAACAATGTTTTAAGTTAAAAAGAAAAAGACGAAATTGAAAAAGTGAAAAAAATGCATGAGGGAAAGTCGTCTGCTCATGGAGTTATCATCCGCCGGGGTACGCCCACGTCTTTCGCCCGCTTTTCGCCGAAGTTATGGAGTCGTTCCCCAATCAGATAAACGTCATCTCGGATGCCTGCTCGCCAACGAGAGATTTGCTTGCGGCATAGGTGCGCGGCCCATAAAAGGAGGACACCCAGTAACGACGCAGGGAAGCAGTAGCGGTATACCTCGGAGTGTACATTGGCCGGTGAATCCTGGAATATGGTGGTGTTTAGAAGAAGGCCTATAGGTAAGGGTCCCATAATCGCCACTAAAGCAATCAAGGTAGCGGGAAGAAGGAATGCTCTGGTGGCCAATTTAATATCGGGATCCGCCCAACCATTGCGTAGGATAGCGTCGAGAGCAATGGCAGGGCGAGATCCGCGATACCATAGTACAAGTCTGACCGCCATTCGCACGTACAAGACTCCAAGCGTCCAGTCTTGTACCAAGTGGATGACATGGGCCTGGTCACCTCCGATATAGGTGTGGAGTGGAATGAGAATGTAAAGTTCGGTAACCAGGGCAAAGAGGGAAGGGAGGAAGAGAGCGTATGCACCTCCGATATATACGAGACTGACGAATCTTACAAGCATATTATATGTCTGCGGGAAAACTTGCCGAGGAGATGCAAGGTATGGTTGGAGATGTTCTCCGAGGAAGGCGACCACCTGACGACAGTGAATCAATGCGTATAGGGTTCCGCCCATCACATATATACCAACGGAGAAAGCATATATGTCGTTCACACGGATGTGGCTGGGGAATAGAGAGGAGATCATCCTTCGGCCAACCACTAGAGGAACTATAGTGCACCCAACCCCAGTGACCGCCGCAAAGACCCAAATCATAAAAATAAATACTGCAATCCTGGTCTTGAACATTGGAGGTACATAGACATGAGCGAACATGTTGTTCGACTTTCCATGTAGACCGTCCTCGCGATCCTCCTTACCATCAATACGCTCATTGTTCTCATCAACTGGCAGGAACACATGTCCCCCTTTAGGAATTCGAACCTGATCGGACCCCGGCGCCCGCACAAATCTTCCATCTCGTAGAAAATATTCACCGTGGCCCTGGTTTTCATCACTGCGTCGACGGCCAAAAACCCCTTCACGCCAATTTCGGTATCTAGGTCGACCCTCCTCATCCTTGCGCCGCTCACCAAAGAGAAAATGCGTTAGCCTCAAGCTGTGAGCACATTTATGGAACCACCAGTTGTACATTTTATGCAGTCCATCTGATGGGCGAATCGAGCGAATCGCCAACGGCATAACAAAGTTGTAAAAGAGTAGATCGACAGGAAATTCAAGGACAGGTTCGTTGGAGGACCAGTGGATGGGAAGGACTTCTTGGAACGTCAGGGATAAGCCCCAAACAACGCCGCCAAGACACACAATGACAAGGGCCCCGTACACAAGGGCGCTAAAGGCGATTTTTCTTAATTGGGTTGTGACGTTGCGCTCAAGAACATCGCGTACAGGGTGGAATGTGGGGTCGTCGGGGTCCCGGATGAAATCTAATATGCACCGTTAGTCTTAAAGTGAATAACAAAAGTATTACCCAACATGGGTTTACTCACATAGGACGCCACTCCGCATAATCTTCCGGCACATGGAGACAAAAAGGGCGAAATGGAACATGTAGCAAGTCCCGATGAACCAATGCACAAATAGCGATGTGAACGGCGAATCCAACGTAAACGTAATCCGCGACGTTAATGTTGCACTCTGGAATAGGGGTAAAAGTGCGATGTCAAGTAGTATACCGCAATATAATGGGAACACGATCATTTCAATTCCAATGATCAGGATCACCTTCATCACCCCGCCAGCTTGTTGCAAAACGTCAGCCACAGCCCCCTCTGCCCGCTGCTCCTGGCGTGGTCCGGTAAACAATGAAGAAAATCGGAGATACAACATCCCAAGAACTGAGGCAAAAACATATCCAACGAGAATCGCAATTATTCGGTCTTTTGTATCCCACAGCGCCAACTCGTGGTTCAACGACAAGACAACCTTCTCCTCAACTCCACCGATTTTAAGGCTCGACCAATTTCCTTTCTCCAAAAAAAATAGTGCAGACTTTCCAACGCCAACGATGGTAGCACTTGCTGCAGAGAGTAGCTTCATAGGTTCCACAGGTAGTATGGACCTGATGAGTTTTTGAGGCCCTCCTTTCTGGAGAAGAAGTAGAGGAATATCGTAGAGAAACGCTTTCCCAACACTAATAACAAAATTGAAAACAGTTGCGATTCGATCCTGGTGGATCCTCAAGGCCTGGTGAGACAGAACAGAAAACATCGGCAGGTCTGATTCATGGAAGGTGAAAAATTCGCCTAGAACACCCTTAAGGCGCTGACTGCTCCCGTCAATCAGAGAGAGCGAGGCTGCGGTAACAGCATTGCTGACGGAATATTTTGCAAGTGAAGGGATAAAGCGCCCAAATAAGGCGAACATACTCTGGAGCAGAACATTCCCCCAGTAGACAACATATCCCAAGCTTCCGAGAAGTGTGTCAACGGTGATATCGGCGATCAGGGAGACGAGTGCAACCGGAACGCCAACGAACAGCCGTATCGGATTCGTGAAGAGAACAAGAGCAATCTTACCCCACAGGTAAGGTAGCCAGATTCCCACCGCGACAGTGAATGACACAAGTAATGCGCTGAAGACGCCATTTTGCAGCAGACCGACAATCGGTCCCTGCATGCCGATGAGCTCCAAAATGCCTTCAAGGTCATCTGCATCGTCCACAGCATCAACGTCGTCGGGGTCAGCGGGAGGACGCGGGCCATCAGCAAATCCCGGCTCGTCCATGGGGCCATGAACGTGGTGGTGATGGCCATCTCCAAAAGGGCCAAAAGGGTTCTCCTGTCCAGGTTCTTCACGGACGCGCTCGCCATCCCGATCGCCTGCCCGATCTTCTTGCTCCTCTACCCTTGGAGGTCTGGGGGTGACGCCACCCCAAAACCAATTCGAGGCACGATCAATCAGACTCTGAGGAGCTTCATTGATTTCCATCGGAGGTGTTTGCTGAGACGATGCAGCTGAAGGTTCGGGTTGCTCACCGGGTAAAGCTTCTTGAACGGGTATACCAACACCGGATGATGAAGACGGTTCGACAAGAGCTGCAGTTAGTGACGGGCCTCGATTGTCTGGCCTTGTCTCTTCCTGAAGCATCGAAGAGCATTCAGAGTTTTCTTTGCCCATGATCGGAGGTGGTAGGTCAAACGCACGCATAGATCTGGATGGGCCTGCGGATTCTGAACCGAAGAATGCTGGTGAGTTGAACAATTCCATTTTTGGCAAGGTGGGTGAGAATGATTCTGCAGACACACCAGAATTCGTAGTTCGATCTCCAAATCTCATGGTAAGTCCTCCTCCGGGCTCATCTTGATTTTCATCTTGTTTGTCTCCAGAAAGTTGAGCAATCTCGGATGACGAAGGTTGCGGGTTACTAGGATCCACTGGGACATGGAGTAAAGCGGATGGATCTAAGATAGCCTCTTCCCCATTTTCTTGTAACTTGTGCCGAGTTTGGTCGTTAGATCGGGATGATTCGCCCGCACGCTCTAACCTTTGCATGGCTGCGATAACCCAACCCAGTTCTTCCTGACGCCCCTCTTGCTCGATTATCCTTAAAATTTCAGTTGGGTTTCGCATGCCACGAGCCCATAAATCTTTAAACACATCTAATCCAGGCCACTGGGCATTGCTACTACTATCAAGTGGTGCCACTGTTTCCTCGACACCGCACTCGACTCCCGGCTCCCAAACCATGCCTGCTATTTCATCGACGGGACCAATAGAACCGTCTTCAATCTGAGAAGGTTGCTGTGGACCAGGTGATTCGGAGCTCTCATCAGTAGCATCAGGCTGCCGCGGTTGGTCCAAAGGCGGAGTTGTCTCATTCGGCTGCTGCTCATTAAACCCTGGAACATGGGCAGGCGCATCTTCAGGCATATTTTGCTGATGCGGGGCCTCCTGAGCAGGTTGTCCTGGTTGTTCGGCGGGTTGAATTACGCCACCATCCGCCATCAGCTGCGCTGCGGCTTCTCGATCTGCCTCTGCAATATTAATCGCAGGTTGTTGCTGCACGACCCATTCTCTAATTAAAAACACAAGAATAAAAGCAATAACCACCGACAAAGTAATTATTTGTCCCTCAAAGGTATCTATTAAAATATTGTTGAGTGTGGAATAAGGAGTCAGCCGGTTTAGAAAGGAAACATCTGATAGCCAGGATGGCTGGCGAAGCCGTCGCATCGATGAAGAAGTTGCGTTAGTCGAGTTTGAACCTGCAGTCTCGACCTCAGATGAAGTAGCCAGTGTTGCCCAAGTGCCGAATAGGAGTTTTTTTAGAATACTGTATAACAGTGGCTCACCGGCGGAGAAGTTGAGCATGGAGGAAAACGGCGAGACGAACTGTGGGAGTGTTGTCATATTATGTGCCATTCCGGATGGGGTGAGATTGTTTGATGCAACGGTTTGGGCCGGGGAAGTTCCTCGGGAGGCAAGTCGATCGAGGTCCTCGCTCGCCGGGGGTACTTGTGAGGCTTGATAGATTTCCGAGTGAGGCCAACGCCCATCAGCTAACCAAAAGAGACCACGCCAGATAGCTCTCATGGACCACGGGAGCCATCCCAGCCATACGAAAGCAACCAGCACAAATCGTAACCACGTAACAATTGACCGAGCACCCTGGAGAGCTAGTTCCTTAAGAAAGACCGGGGCAGGTAAATCCTGAGGCATATTCGGGTCGTAAAGCTTTGTAAATCTAAACTGAGTCTTGCAGAGCTCGCAGTATTTCTTTTGCGAATGGGAGAGCCATTGCATCAGGCAGTCTTGGTGAACGAACTTGATACTCCCACTACATTTGCAGGGATAAAAGAGCTGCTCCTCCTCCGTGCCCTCGCCGCGACATATTCGACAAGTGTCAGGTTCGTCCAAACTTTTTCTCTTTCCGGGGGCATTCGTGGCAAAGGCAGGGTCGTTCATAATATCAGGGAGAAGGGTAGACCTCCGTTCCCGAGTTGCGGCAAAATGATTTAGATCCATGGCCCTATACGTTGAGAATATTCAAATAATGAATGAACGCAGATGACCATGTTATGGTAGGTTCGTGGTTCCGCATGCCCGCATCCCAAAGTGCTGTCCGTACGGAGTTGAGCCAAAAGATAATTAATTTCAGGGCCAAGAAAACTAGGATCTAGCAAGAGTTCCACGTCAGTTAGCACATAAAAAGGATGTATAAATAAATCCCCAGCGTGAGCAGTAAAGACACCTACAGAGCTCCGTTATCCTGAAAATGCAAAAGGATAACTTGACGTGGCGAGCGTGAGACTTGGTAGTTAGACGTTTGACGTAGGTCTCGTTGGTCTCTGTTTTGTTGGACCAACCAATTTCACATTGTAAAGTGGATTACTCAGCTACCGATATCGGAAAATTGATTATCCGTAGCATATTTCCCCCCACGGGCCTCGTGCATTTATGTGGGACGTCTGAAGTGGTTGTATTTGTAGCCTATCTCAGGGATGCTATATAATACTGTGCGGTGCGCTAGTCCATAATAGGAAGCCTAGGCTCCAACACCTCCCCTTGAACTAGCTACTGTACAGACTAGCTACTGTCCTGCTCAAATCAATTATTACGGCAGCCTATAGTGACATTTGGGTCAAATGGGTTTTTTTGATGGTTTTTATACTAGTGTTACCATGAACACGCACCAATCATATTCATTTAATTTGTAATCAAATAGAGCTTGTTGATTATAGCTCCTCTGTGTAAGAAAATTTTGTGATCAAGGCACACTAACTCTATTGATTACATGAGTGACAAGAATAGGGGTGAGAATAGGGGTAAGAATAGGGGTAAGAATAGGGGCAAGAATAGATCTGTGAGAAATAAGACTTATTATGAGAATAATAGCTAGCAAAATAATTCTTCACATTAGTATCAATCTTTACAGCGCATACTAAAATCTATCAAACATTCTACTAATCACCCTCAACTCTGAGGTCAAAAGAATCTATCAATCATTCTATCAATCACTCTCGACGCTGATGCCGAAATCTTGTCCCATTTGCAGGTGGGTCAAGATAGTTTGATTGTGTTTCAATTTCATCAGAATGACTCTTTTCCATCTCTGTCACAGTGTTTTCCATCTCCTTCTTTATATTTTCCTCCTCTGTCTCTGATTCCAGCTTCTCCCACTTGAACAATAGATCCTTTTCAAGCTTCATTGTCTTCAATTCATTAACTTTGTCTTCAGATTTTGTAGGGATTGGGGACGGCCGTCTTCGTTTGATAAGATTTAGAATGGGTAAATCGAGTGAGAAAGCACGTTCGCGCTTGATCACTGATACAGAGGTATTCTCTTCTTTGACTTTGATATCTGGTGATTTGACTTTGATATTCTTCGGTTCCGATGGTTGTTCGATGGGGTGATTGGACTCATCATAGGTAACAAGACAAATGTGAATAATTGTAGTTGTTGAGGTTGATGAGTGCACTTTCTTAAATGAACTCAATAACTTTTCCAAATCCAACATCCAAACATCAGGAGTGAGCATAACTGCACCATCCTTTCCTGTAACTGAGGCAGAAATGAATACATCAACTGGAGAAACAACTGTAAGAATATTCTTCCAGGCTGTATCAAGTCTGGCAGTGATGATTTCTAGAAAATCCTCCATTGTGAAAAACACACAATCTGAGTAGATTTCATTTTGAATTTTTCGAATTGACTCCCAGTTATAGTGTGTTTGTAGTTTGGCATCATTGTATTCACACTTCCAAATATGAATAAGAATTTTGTAGGATTTTCGCAAGGAGGATAGTTGATTCAGCTCAGGTTTGATCGCAGGTTCTTTTATAGGTGATGTACGTTGAACTGGTGTACCAGCATTGGGGGTCATTTGTTGAACTTTTTGTGTTTTTTGAATGGCCAGTTGACGTGCTCGTTGAGGAGGTCCAGGATCAAGAATTGTGGCAGAGAGTGACGGTGTCAGAGCTGGAGGACTGGGACTATCTTCAATGACAATGATTTCATCATTTATTGAAGAGATGATGGAGGATTTTGGTGTGGATGGATTGGCTTTGCCACAATAAGGACAGGCAGCTTCACTATTACAGTGTGCTTCATGAGAAAATCCAGGACGATTGGGGCAGAATGGTGTCCACATAGTGAAGTAAATCAAGATGATAATAAACAACAAAGAGAAGAACAGGAAAATTTGAGTGTGTATATATATATATCTGTTTTTGAGGGTAAGAGAGTGAGAGATTGTGTGTATGTGTGTGTGGATTTGGGTAACCTGATTAGTATAATGATTAGTATAATAGCTAACTGCTTTGGGAGTGTTAGACATGATGAGTAATATTATAAAATATCTTCAAAGAGTTAGTTACAGTGTACACACTACAGAATATTTCTGTATCAATTAAGAAAATTGTTTATTGATATATATTTTAATACTGTCAATAACTTTAGATTGGAATATATAACTATATATGATTATAATTTTCAAGTTATAGAGTGTTTGAGTATATGAATACATATATTCTGTGTGTCCGGTGTACATACATTGTATATATATATATATATATATATCTAGTTCAAAATTCATGTAGCACTACAATATAAAATTTATAGAATAATTGTTATAGTAACAAACTTAAAAAGTATATTCTTGAGAATATTAGTAGAATACTTAGTAGAATACTTAGTAGAATACTTATTCATATTCAATCTAATTACATCTGTGATACATCTGGCTTAACATCCTCACTGTTCTCATCAGAGATATCAGGCTTGATATCTTCACTATTCTCACTATTCTCATCATAGATTTTCATTTCCATCACATTATCAAAATTCATCTCATGCTCCTGCAATCGCTCTGTCAGCCAGTCCCAAGCACCAGTTGGCTTTTCAGATTCCTGTAGAATAGGAACTTGTTGAGATCTTATATGATCATGTACAAGTTTTCGCAGCTGAAGATATATTATCTTATGTATACGTTCACCCTGTTCATTGACAGCTGCAGCAGTGACTCTTCCAGAAGAAAATCCCAATTTTGAAATCTGATTCTGACACCAATTCTTTGTCTCCAGTGGTAGATACTCATTAATATCTGTCAAGTATTAGTATCTCTATAATATTAGATCAACAGAGATATTAGTAATGAAGATATTACATACCCCAGTTTTCAAAGTGCATGTGAAGTTCTGAAAGCACTTGTGAATCTGGTTTTAAGCCATGCTGTAATGCATTATCAGGATGATAATAGAGCTTCCAGGGCTGTCCATATACCCCATCAGGTCGTTTACGTTGAGCTCGAATTCGATGATTATTCCAGACTCTCACATAGTTTGTCATCTCTTGTCGAATAATTGGCATATATACAGCGAGAAAGGCAATACGATCAGATAATTTATTGGTGTGATATAGACCTGTATGACTGAGATTCAGAAAATAGCGCTGAGAGAAGATTAGCATAAAGATTAGTATAATAATTAGTAGAAAGAATATGGAATTTCATACTCTCCAGTAATTTGCCAACTGTTTTGCAAGTTGTCCCCACCAAGATTCAATTCGTTGATTTAGTGTACTTGTTCCAAATCGATAGCACTCATTCAAAGAAGTATTTGAATCAGTTGCTTGATGTAGTTTGAGTTGTGCAGCTGCAATCATTGAAGTTTCGGTTCCTCTATCTGAACGAATAACCTGAGGAAAAGTATCGGTTGCTTGTAGAACATCAAGAAATTGTCGAAGAACAGAAACAGCAGTACGGTTTGTGATTCCAATATATATCCACACTATATATCGAGAATATGCATCAATTGCTGCATAGATTTCGATTCCCCAATGTTGAAGCTTGCAATAACCATCAATAGACCAAAGATAATTTGGTCCGGGAACAATGTAGGATCCTCGGTGACGTTGGAGATCATTTAGCCGACGTGTAATTCCATCTGGATCGAGAAGCCGAACTGTTTTGAATAGACGATCTCTGATTTTATTAGTATTATACTAATCATTATATTAATCAAAACATACCGTGAAATGCTATGCCCCTGCTGCCTAAAATGGGTGTACAGATGTCCTCTTCCAAAACCCTGAATAAATCCACTGTCAAGCTCTTTCTGTACAGTAGATATAAGCTCTTTCTGCATCTCATCACTCTCATAGTCATCTCTTCGCTGATGAAGTTTCAATTGCTGCCGAATTTGACGAAGCTCACGTATAGAGAGTTGAGACTCAGGATGCTTTTGTTGAATAACTGATAGAATATCAGCATCCTGCAAGCCTCGTGAAAACAATTCTTGAATAAGATTGTGAATTGATTCATCAGCTTCCCATTTCTTGGTTTTTCTAACATTCCATTTTCGAAGACAACGAACAAGAGTTGATCGACTAACTTCAAGATTATGATCTCGTTTCAATTGAGAGATAATATCTTGTTGAGTTAGATTGTGTTGATGAAGATTAATAATAAGATCTTTGTGAGAAAGAAGATATGAATAACCAGATGGAGGCATTTTAAAAGAAAGTGAAAGAAAAAGTATTCATCATTCTAAAATAAAGAAATAAAGAAAGAAAGAAAGAATGAATGAATGAATGAAAAATTGAAAATATTATAACATCATAAAAAAATTAAATAAGAAAATCAAAACAAACAGATAATGTACTAAACTAACTAACTTAGCTTGCTTTAATATAAAAAAATTTTTCAACAAAAAACAGATTAGTAGAATGATTGCTATAATCATAAAAACAAAAAAAAAAAAAATCAACTTTCAGACTTAAAAAACATGCACTCATCCGGGCTCCATCTCATTTGCATAAATTCCTCTGGAGTCATTTCCTCTTTAAAGGCTCTATGAGCCTGTTTACGAGCATCAATATCCTTTTCTGAATCTTCAGTCTTTTGCTCACTCCACCATCTCTTTGCCAAATTGAGTCAATTTGTTCTGCACAAAGCAGCATTTTCAAAACAGAAAGCTCCTGATTTGAAATTGTTTTTAAAAATCGATGATGACTGGCAGTATTGTTG